GTCAGCTCCGAATTCGCTGCTGGCGACGGCCGCTCCCCGTCTCCGACGCGGGAAGGGCCCCTCGTCAACAATCAAAGATGCCAAATTGCCTCCAGGCCAACGCACGTGGGCCTTCGCGCCGGCCGCTGCTGCTGCGACAGCTGGGCCGCCGGCGTAGCTGGCCAGAGCTGGCTCGCGCCCCGAACCGCTCGCTTCAGCTGCCAAGCCCCGATGCCGAGGCCGCCTGGGGTGTCGCCAGGGATACCGCCGAGGTCACTCGCGGGATGCAGAGCGGCACACCGCGGCCGGCGCGTGAGCGCAGGCAGCTCCATGGAGGAGGGGGCTGGGGGCTGGAGGGGGGAGGAGGATGATGGCTCCTCTCCCCCAGACTCCTCGGACCACCCATGGAACAATGATACGGCCCGATGGCGCGGGTGGTCGTGGCGGGGGCTGCGCGACCTGGGCCTGCACCGCAGCGGTGGGCGCCGCGTCCAGGGGCAGTGCGCGTGCTGGTGGCCAACGTGACGCGGTAGCGTGCTAGCTGGCGCGGGGCGCTGGCGGCGGAGGCTGCCGCATGGTGCTTCCAGGAGGCCCGCATCCCCGTCGGTGACGGCGGTGCGGCTGGCGGCGTGGGCCCGCGTTATGCGACTTGGTCTCGGGCCGGCCACCGACGGGGAGCACCTGGTGGCGCGGCCCACGCCCATGGCCAGTGCGCGGCTCGATCGGAGCTACTGGCGGGCTCTCTGGTCGCCACGCTGGGCGGCACCAGCATTTGGTCATGCATCTCGGCCATGGCTGTGCCGTGAATTTGAAGAATTGCTATGGATATGCTGGAAGCGGGACCGACATCGAGAGCAATTCCGACCTCGTGTTGGAAGGTTTGGAATGGTTGCGCGGCCTGGGGGGGGCCGCATTCATGGTCGGGGACGTGAACTGCCGCCTCGCTGGCACGGGACTCGAGGGACTCTGGGGCATCATGGCGGGCTGGCATGGCAGGACCTGCTGGCGGCGTGCGGCCTGACATGCGCGCCGTCCCAGGGCGAGCCCACTCGCATCGACCATGTCCTCGCGAACACCGCGGCGTTGGGCCGAATGGAGTGCGTTGGCCTCTGGTGGGGCCTGGGCTTCGCCCATCGCTGCGCTGGCAAGTGGAGCTCTGCGCCGCCGAGCCTCAGCACGCGCGCATTCGGCAGCGGGTGCTGCCTCTCTTTGGAACCGCTGCGGCAAGATGGCGCCCTGGAATGTCGCGAGCCCTGACGGCGGTCGCCCAATCATCGCGCGGCGCAATTTTCAATCGCGCATTGGGGCTGCACGACGTTGACACAGCGTGGCAAGAGCTCCATTCAGCTATGCTGACCTGGTTGTCCGCCCAAGGTGGCTGCGCGGCCGCCTGCGGCAGTGTCGCGGCAGACCGATCACCCCCCCTGCGAGTGGCGGGGGTGGGGGGGCAGCAGATCGGCGCGCCGACGCGGCGCTGCTGCGCCTTCGCCGCCTCCGTGGGCCGCTGCGCGCGCTGCGGCGCGCCGGCGGCGGTGCCGCTCGGTCGATCGCTGAATCCTCGTTGGCGGCGCTCCGAGCGGCTGGCGATGCTTGCGCTGCGTGGCCCGCAGAGCTGGCAGAGCTGCGGGGCGCCGCGCCGCCGCCGGCCCGCACGTTGTAGCGCGCGGAGGCCGCGTGGGCGGAGGCGCGCGCGAACGCCCGCTGCCGCTGGAGAGACGGGTGGCATCGCTGGGCGCAAGACTGCATTTCGAAAGGTCAGGGCCGGCCCTGTCGGTGGATCTGGGGCAGCGGCCGCCTCGACGCCGAGCTCATCGTTGACCCCTTGCTGATTCCCAGCGGCGGAGCTGGCGGGCCGGCCCCGCGCGCCAGCGAGGGCAGCGACGCAGCTTCCCTTCTTCGAGGGCCACTGGGGGGCGATCTTGCAGCGGGACGCGGCGCCGCCCTTTGGCGAAGAGTGGTTCCAGGCGCTGGGCGGCCCCCCCCCCGCCATCCCCGACCGCGCCGCCTGGGCTGCCGCGCTCGCAGACGCGCTCCGAAGATGCCAAAGCGCAAGAGGGCCGGGCTCAACGGCTGGACGGTGAGCGAGTTGCGCCTGCTCCTAGTGGAGCTCCATGGATGGGTAGCTTCACGCTGCAAGCGGGCGGAGGCTCTCGGCCGCTGGCCCCGCGAGATGGCCATGGCAACAGGGCTGCTCCCCCCGAAGCCTGGCGGCGAAGGCGGGGCGCTGGACAGGCGGTCAGTTCGGCTGCTGCCGACGTGGCATTGCATCGGCTGTGGGCCGCCAGTCGCGCCCGTCTCTTTGCGCCCTGGCGCCTCCAGTGGGCCGGCGAGGATGTGCAGCGCGGTGCCGAGGAGCTCGCACTGGAGCTCATTAGCGCTGGAACTTGCAGCTGCCGAGGCCCCCGGTGAGAGCCTGGCCAACGCGGCGCTCGACTGGCGCAGGGCCCGCGATCATGCGCACCTCGCTTCGCTGCCTGGCCTGCTCATTCGAGCGAAGGGCCGCAGTGGATCGCCAGGCCTG